AAAATACAAAATCGAAAATTTTAACATCAAAATAGCATACGGTAGACATTTTCACCACAAAGACAAAATGAAGTTCGAAATATTTTTTTTTCAACCTAAAGTATTATATAACATAAGTTTTAATTTAAGATGTATATAAAAGTGTCAATATTTCTGGAGCACTTTCAAAAATTAAGTTGAAAAAGTTTTACTTTCTATATGCATTTTTAAGTTCTGAACCGCTCCCGTATAAAGGGAAATGGTCCGATTAAAAAAAATTATCTCGAATGAAAGAAGTATATAAATAGTATTTCTCAAAAAAAAATTGTTTTGATCCATATTTTTATAAAAATGTTTAGTAATATAAAGTTAAAAATGTAAAATATAAAATCGAGAATTTGAATATAAAAATAGCATACGGTAGTCATTTTTAATATGAAGTCAAAATAAGTCCGTAATTTTGTTTCCCAATATTTAAGTACATTATATTAGCTTTAATTTAAGATTTAATTAATCAAAAAATTTAATGTGGTAACAAACACAAAAAAACACATCATAGTAAAATTAATACCTTCTCAGCTTCGCATCGAAGCTAAAAAAAAGTCATTTTATTCTAGGCTATATCCCTTAAATTTTTCTATTTTGGGAAATAGCTCTTTATCATCTTTCTTTAATATAATGGAGAAATGATTATTTTTATTTCTCACTCTTTTTGCAGAAACAATAATTTTATATTTTAGCTAATTAAATATAATCGATAATTCATATCGATTATATTTCTGAAAACGTTTAAAGTAAAATCAAATTACATTTTTTTTATTATTTTATTTAATTAATAAAAATCGTTTTCAATCATAGAACTCGATATTACGATTTTGAGTGTTTTGGTAATAAATTTTTGTAGATATTTTTTTTAATCTTTATGAAAAAAGGCACTGAATTGTAACGGATTTAAATAATTATTATATTAAATATAGTATGAAAAATTGTTATACAATTGAAATAATTGAAATAAATTAAATAAATTGAAATAAATTTGATTTACGTTATATTCAGAGTCAGGGTTTAATCTAAATATTTTATAATTTTTTTTATTAATTTTTGAAGGTAACCCTTTAAAAGTGTCTGCATTTATATTCAAGAGATTAAGTTTTACCTTTACAATTAACAACTTGTAAACTGTTTATAATTTGAATGTTAATTGTTAGTGCATGCTTGGCTGTTATATTATCATGAAGAACAGATTTTCGACGCAGATAATGTAAAAATATTTAAGTACATTATCTTGGTATTAGGATATTAATGTACTGTAATAACCAATTGAATTAGACTTAAACGGGTAGTCATGATATTTAATATATTTTTTTAAATCACATTAAATTCGAATAAAATTACAATTTTATTAATGAATCATAATCTAGTTTTTTGCTCGTGATGAAAAAATCGAAAATAAAACCCATGATTTAATTTATGTAATTGCTTATATGTTGGAAAATCCTAAATTTAAGTAGTGTATACCAGTATCATAATATAACTAAAGGGAATTTGTGTTAAGTTGATGACCTTAATTGTTGGAGATTGATTGTAGGAGTTGTAATTTTCATTAAAATTGTTCTTTTTAATTCAGAAATTTCTATAATTCATTTAATGAATTAACGATCAAAGATAATTCCAATAAAATATTACCTCATTTTGTTTTCCTGTGTTATAATTATACTAAATTCCTAATTTGTAACATAAAATAAGTCCACGTATAAGATATTAATACAGCCATTCACGAGTTTAACTTAAATTCAAAATTTATTTTTATATCGACTTCACCCTTACAATTGGTTTTACGCTTATATATTTTTTAATAATTTATTTTTAAATTATGCATACATATTTAATATGCAATATTTATGGATGTGTGGGTTCATATAATTTGATATATATCATGTTACAGACTGTATAACTAACTTTTTTTTTTGTTTATCTGAATAATAAGAGTATCCTCAACCAAAAAACAATTTCGATTCCACGAAAATAATTCCGAAGCTGATCAATGAATGTTTTTTAACTCTCCAATACAATGTCGTATATATCTAAAAATCTGTATAGTGATAATACATTTTTCATGATGGAATATTTATTTTTTGAACCGTAGACAATTATTAATTTTATTTGATATAGGTCACATGGGCATACAGTGTAAAATTGGACAGCTCGTTTTTAAAACTCAAATAGTTAAACTTCTTCAAAACTTTCTTAGAACTTTTCATTGATAAAGAGATATCAGTTATGATATGTATTTGCATAAAAAATTAATTTCTTTTTTCTAAATTAGTTTACATAGTTAATTTTTTCAGTGTGTAATTATTACACACTGTTAATTAATTTTTCTATTTCTTTAAATAGATACCTATCAAACTATTAAAACATACTTATTACTTAAAGAGGGGCCAGTGAAAAGGGTATTGGAACGTGTCAACATCTATAATTAACAAATCGCCCGCTCACCTTCAAATTATTGAATCACAAATACAAGATTTTATATGTAACAAATTATTCAACAATAATGAATTCATTACTGATTTTATGTCTTCAGATTCAATACGTAGCTAGAAGCTACACATACTCTGTTGTTTTTTTTTTTATGTGTGATAGTAAATACTATTACTCCAGATATACTGAACCGATTTTGCTCAACAATATGTCAAAAGGTCATAAAACGTATCTAGTTCAAGTTATCAATGTCATAAATTTGCAAATTGCCCTATACTCCAAAATTAAGGGAAATGTCTCAAAAATTTATAATTTTCTTTAAAAACAGTTAATATTTACATTTTTAATTTTTACTTTATATTAAAATAACTTTTCTGGATGGATTACTGTGAAACTTTAAAATGTACAAATTAATAAATTTATTAGTAATACATTTGACATGCTCATTCAACAAGTCGTCGACAATGACGATGATATACTATTTTGGGAACCCAATCATTAGCTAAGGGTTGTCATTTTTTTTCTTCAAATTTAAAATTTTAAAAAAAACCTGATTTTTTTTTTAAATGTATCAAATTAAAGGCAATACTATGTATTTTAAAATGAAAAAATAAGAATTATCCGAAATCTTGAATTTTAGGAGTTATTGCGAATCAAAACAAAAAATCATANCGAAATCTTGAATTTTAGGAGTTATTGCGAATCAAAACAGTTGTCAGTAAAAATGTCAGTTTTGAAGTTTTTAAATAGTAACGGAATACTCACTTCATTCTAATGATTTTAAATTAAAGTCTATTTGATGTAATATATGATTAAAATAAGAAAAATGTTCTAATGACTCATTCTCTATGAGTAATCAGCCTCTTAAATAAAAAAATCATTTAATTTTTGATAAATAAAGTTTTTTTTTAATTTACCTCAAATACGCATCAAAGTGTTTTACTACAGTGATTTTAATCGCGGTCAGAATTCAATCGATCCTAATCTATAAAACTCTTCAAATGTGCTACATTAAATTTTGACAGTACTTAATTTAATTTAATTGTTTTTAACAAATTTTAAATATAACATGATCATCTATAAAAAGTAAATTTCTCTTGAGTTAAATACAGTTTTTAAATTTAGATATATAGATATAATTTAATAAATTTACGATTTAATTAGAATAATCAAATATTTTAAAGAGGTAACGTAATAATTATTTTAGAGTATTTAGAATTCCGTGTAATATTCTTTTTTTTTCAATAGTTGTATAGACCAGGAAAGTTTTCATAGTGCTATCACTAACTGATATTTTTTATTAACTTGTATACAAGTATAACATCATTAGTTTCACTTAATATTGGAAATAATTAAAACATATAATTAATGATTAATTGTTCAGAGTAACAAATAATATTATCGAATTAGCTTTCTACTCTTCTAGGCATTCGTCGTGATCATATACACAAAGGCAAATTTTTGAAAAGTTACCGTTTGTCGCTTTTCTGTATAGATTTTTAGTAATATTTAATTATATCCCATATAATAAACTCCAAATATTTTTTTTTTATAAAATCAAAAACAAAATAGTTTATACTATGTAAAATTTCTCATTAAATCTCACATTTAAAAAATTCTACTTCTTAAATTTTTTTACAGAAGTCAGATTAATCATTCACAAATAAATAAACACTTCAGCAGGATTATATGTAAAAATTATACAAAATATTAGATATAATATAGAAATGTTGTTCGAGTAGGTAAAAAAATACTGTTACATAATATGAAACTATATTATTATACTTGCAAAATTATATTTCACATTTCTATCAACTGAAATATGAATAGAATTTCACATAAGTATTAAAGTTTTTGAAATATTCAACCCTTTAAAAAAAACTACAAAAATAATATATTTTAACTTAAATAAAATTCTCGATTTGATATCTTAATAAAAGTAAATTATTTTGATCTAAGTAAATACTTTATATTTATTCGAATTTTATAACTAAAACACCTGATTTGAGTTAACTCTATGATTAACTAAAACTCTGATATAATCTATGGTAATATTTTTTATCAATAAACATGTGTTATTAAAATATTTTGTTATTTTTTCATAACAGAATGAAATTGTTTTCTGCAATAATTTGCGGTATACTCAATTAAAGTTATAATAAGCTTAAGATATTTTAGCTATTTAATTTTTTGAAACCCTTTTTGGCCGTAACTAACATTACATAAGTTCTGTTATTTTTTTCATATTTTGAATATTTACAAAATGTCTTTCAAGGATACTCCGAGTCAGCTCAATATAGTAATTATTCATTTTTGTGTAAAAATTAAAAATAAATATTTAAATTTTAAACATACAGCATTTTAATACTTAAATTAATCAACAACACACAATACTTATTTATTATTTCAGCTAATTAAATTATTACCTATTAAATGATTGTTTATATATTTCTGTAGCGTGTTTTAGCTACATTCATTTCATCATCGATTCATAATTATTGATATTTTTATAGAACACATTACTGAAATTAAAGCAAATGCCCGTGGCCGATCACTTTATGGCTGCTCCTTTCAACGCGGATCCTGTTATTCCTAAATTAAAAGGCAGAAATGTCTGTGAAAAATGTTGTAAAACTTTTGAAGACAAAACTAATTTGTGGAGACATGTACAGCAAGAACACGGTAATGATAGTGATCTATTATGTTCCGAACCCAATTGTGGCAAACTGTTTGCTAGCAACGCCTTGAAAATAGCTCACATAGCACACCATGAGACCAACGGCGTTTTAACTAACACTTGCGAGATGTGTGGTATGTTGTTGGCTAGTCGTAAAACATTCTATAGACATGTGACGATTGTTCATAAGGACAGTATTAAAGATCTATGTGGATTTTGTTTAAAGTTTAGCCAAAACACTACTGCTCTGAAAGTACACGTGTGGCAAACACACACACGACAAATGTTAACTGGTATACGTTGTGATGTTTGTGGAAAAGGATATTGTAATACCAAAATGATGCTCAAGCATAAAGCAATTCACAAAATAAAAGGCAATTATTGTAGTATCATTCCAATAAATACAAAAAATAATGTTTCCTCCTAATGTATAATCAGCACTGAATATTTTTTATTTGTTATTTATCAGAACTGTTTTTTGTTATTGAAATACCTTATTAGTAGATAATCTTTAATTATATCGTGATAATAAACATTTTTTTGTACCAAAAAATATGTATTCAAATGAAAAAAATTACCATTTATATAAATAATAAATATTTAAACTAATAATCATTACTATTCCATTTTAATAAACTATCTTCTCATTAAACTGTTGAAAATAATAAAAAATTATAGGAAATGTTTAAGTTTATAAGTTGTTAATGATACTCGTAATTTTTTTACACGAAAATCCAAACATTAAATAAGGTTTACTTAATAATATTCAAATCACAAAGCAGTGTCATTAGTACTGAATGTGACTTTTCTAATAGAATACTTAATTAAAAACAAGTTTTTTTGAGTCCTATAATTTTATTTAGCTTATATTATATACGTAAATTTATTGCTTTCTTTGTGCATCGATAGTGTATGAAATAAAATAAGATATGATTTTACATTTGTCTATTTTATGAGCAAATGGTCAATTCAATTTCACGGAGTCTTACACTTGCTCTTAGTCTGCTATTCATTGTGTAATAAAATGTTGAGATAAACCCGCATTGTTCTATATTTATTATTGTTTAAACTAAAATAAAAGAAAGATGCTACAATATGGTTGACGATACTTTTTCAAATGTATCTCAACAGTCAATAGGATCGATCACGTAGAACGACGAGCCAAACAGTTAAATTAAACAAGTATCTATTTTATGTTCTAATTAAAATTAATCACTTTTAGTAGCTTTTTTTAAAGACGTTTTTGTTAATAATTAGTTTTAAAACTAATTTGTTTAAAAAAAACAATACAAAAAATTCCGGAATATATTTTAATATTGCAACAATGTTCAGGTCAACGTTGGTATTACCAAAATCCAATCCTCGGTTAGTTTAAAATGTATTTTTTTTTAATAGCGCTTAAGATCTTTAAGTTTTACTTTTCAGTTTGATTAAAAATAATCTTTATTATATTATTGTAACATATAAATATTAATGAAAATGTTGCAATTTCTTTAATTTAAAAAACATAATCGCCGAAGTTTTTATCTTAATGAGTCATTCAATAGTAAACCACTAATATTATTATAAAACGTGCAACTACATTTTGTCGTAGTTGACTAATTTTGAACCAATGAAACATGTTCACATTTTTGTACCTTAGAGGGATAGAAAAAGATACCGAGAAATGAATAATGATAAATATAGTAGGATCTATGCTTCATTTCCAGTACATATTTTAAAATACTAATAACTTACAAAATATTGATCCAAAAGTTATTATTGACCCATTTAGAACAGATAAATGAAAATATATATGTAACAAAATGGAAAAAAAAAATTTTTTAACAACTATTTTATTTTTTTTTATTATGAAAAGGCTTCAACAACTATTATTTTAAGAGAAATCGAATAGATAACGTTAATAGAATCATTCTGTATAAAATGTAGCATTCATTTCCTTTTAAATTCTAATATTATGCTTTATTTTCTATAATTACCCGGCATGTCATTGGGTCTACTAACAAGTATTTTTGAAATTTAGCCATACCAATAAAAATTATTATCTGTAATGTAATGAGTTTGATTTGTATTGTAATTACTTTTGTCACTAACTTAACCATTAACCTAACTCTCAGTAATAGAGAATATTGTGTTTATCTGAAACGAAAATTAGTTAATTACATTTAATTTAATAATAATTGTTTCATTAATTATTATTGTACCAAAATTATTTTGTAGTTAAAAAAAAATGGCTATTGTTTTTTTGTTTGTGTAGTACCTACATAACATAGTAATATAGTGTGGCGCCATTAATCAATATAAAATTAAAAGGTAATGTTACTTAAAGCGGAAATTTCTTAAGGACGGTTAATTTTCAAGAGTGAAAAATAATTTAAAATAATAATGAGTTTTTCTTTCATATATAACAAAAGCTCAAAAAATATTACTAATTATTATAAAATGTTATTAGAACAACAGTTATCGGTTATCTGTTATTAATTATACACTAACAGCTAGCAAATAAAATAACTTAAAAAGTTTAATAAACTTCGATGCCATATAATATAATTTTCCGATTCAAAATTCGTTCAAAAAACTGATAAGTACTTAGTATTATTTTATTATAGCATCTTTTATTGTTATATGTTATATTGTTGAGTTTTTTAATTTAATTATATATATATATTTATATATTTTTAACATACATGACTTTAATATCTATAATTAACAGCTAGCACTTTATTTTATTTATTTAAAATGTTTAGTAATAAAATAAATTCATTTTATTTAACACTTTAATACATAGGCATAACTAGAATATTATTGTGGAGGGCTTAATATATTATATTCCCTGATCATTTAAAATATATTCATATTATTGTAAAAACAATTTTCTAAATTTTTGGAGTTACCTCCCTAAACTCTCTCTAGTTACAATTATGTTTACATATCATTTTTTTTTATAAAAAAAACATTTGTATAAAAATGCAGCAAATTATTTAATACTTAGAGCGACACACTGACTAAATCCGACACTGAAAGTATTAGATTTCTATTTAATTAGGTTCTTGCGGTTTTCGTTGAATAATTTTAAACATTAATAGTTATGGTTAACTATTTCAAAGGTCTTCTTCTTTTAGCGTAACCGCATTTGAAATCGCTTAAAGAAGTTCAGTTGCCTCATAGTTTTATATACAATTGGAGTAACTTCCAATACTATTATATTTTATACTGTGTATTAATAGAATACCAAACTAGACCCATGACTTTATTAAATAGAATAAAATTACCTAGTTAATGTTTTTATTTTTTACAAACAATTGATAATAATTTAAAACGCTCCCTTTGAGATACATTTTCTCCATCAATAATTGAAAATAATTGTTTGAATTTTTATTCAATTTATACAGAGTTATTTATAAAAGATAAGACAATCATTTTCTTGGAAATTATTGAAAAATTTTAATTTTTGTAAAGGACAATATTACTTTATTTAAAAAATGTATAAAAATATATAGTTTTATAATTTTGGTTTTCAACACTTTTAAGATAAAAATATTAATTTTTAATTTTCTTTAATAGGACCACTATTTATAATTTGATAATATTATGAAAATAAGAATTTTAAACAATTTCGTTTTAATTTTTTTTTTCCAATCGATCATTTGCATTTTAAAATTGATAAAACTCTAAATTTAAAATACAAACTTATCATTAATTTGCTTTTAATAATATTAAAAGCAACAAATATCATTTTAAATGGGCCATACATTATTTTTATGGTTCAACAATATACGATAGTAAACTTGTATAGAAACAAAAAGTATATGACGACATATTATTGTGATATTTTTGAAAAACAATATTTTCATTTACAAAAATTTTAAATTTTCAATAGTTTCCGAAAAAATAAGTGTCTTAGTCTTAATGAATCACTCTGAATACCAACCCGTTTTTATATGTTTGGCATTCATTATTTTAATTATTAGTGTTTATTAAAAATTATAAATTCTATTGAAAATTACTTAAATTAGGTTTTCAGTTGTGACCTCTGAATCACTTGATTAAGCTAAAATGTACATTATTAGCTTGATCAAGTGATTATACAAAAATATAGAAACTATTGTTTCTATAATTTTGTAATATTTGAATTAAACGATTTACTTTTGCAATGTCATTTACGATATTTTTTTTAATTTTAACTAGAGACAAAAATAATGGAAATGTAGCTTTAATAAGAGATGGACAATATATATGGTGTGATAAAAATATTTTAGCAATTCGAAGTATCTATTTAGAACATATTTTTACAAATAATCCTACACAAAGAGAATTTGTCGTGGATAATTTATTTTCATCAGCACAAACCTTAGAAAATCTTATTGATTTTATGTATACATCCTCAATTGAGTTTACTGAAAGTAATATGATTGTAAGTATTTTACTTTATTTTTAAGTATCTAACGAGTTATATTATTTTTTCTTTATTTGAATATTTTTCGTAAAAATTAATTTATTTTTTAAATTACTTATACAAATAGTATGTAGTTGGTTAAGTGTGTAATAGCTCTACCAAGTGAATATTTATTTCATTAAAATATATGCGTATAATTTAAATAAAGTACAGTATTATTAAGCCAGTTTTTTACAAAGATATAGATCATTTTACAGACCATAATCATTCATAAATCATAAAATATTTACATTACAAAGAAGTCAATTTAAAAATTCTTTACACAAAGATTCTTATCAAAAGAATTCAGGGCAAAATTGAAAAACATTTAAATATTCAGGAGAAAGTTTTTTTTAATAATTTCTCATGTTAAGATATTTTTTAAGTCATGTAACTTTGGTGTTATTTGCTTTAACAGTATCAACCTGGAAGAAGAAGGTGATCAAGGTCACCTTACTATTGGTCTCACGCAAAAAGTAATTAAAACAGGTTTTTTAGTAATATATTAATAGAATTTAGTCCTGTATTTGTAATTTTTCTAGAGCTTCACAAAACAAAGCACACATTTTGCATGTAAATTTTGTGACAATGACCACGAAATAATTTTTCTAGTTCATAATAAAAATGCTAATAATTAATGATGGTATCTCAAAACAAGCTATACCAGTCTAAATTATTTTTCGTTACTTGTTTTTATAAAACTTTAAAATGATTAACCGTTTGTTATTTTATATAAAGTATATTGTATCACTAATTTTCTAATTACTTCTTAAGTTTCGTCAGTATTAAATGATATTTGAAAAATTATTAAGTTACTATACATGCGTTACAATGAATATTATTCTTCTGTTACTTTATTGAAGTCAAGTGTCCAATTTAATTTTCTAATAGGTATAATAAATTTTAAAATATTATATTTTTGGATTAGGAAATTTTATTAGATTCCAAAACACTTGGATTGAAAGAAGTAGAAGATGCCGTTTTAAACTATATCAAGTCAAGAATAACTATTTACAACTGCCTACAATTGTGCAATTTTAAAAATATGATTGATGTTTTAAAAGATGACTGTGTGTTATTTATAAAGAAAAATATTAAGTTTGTAACTTTTATGATTAATTATTCAAATTTTTAACTTATTTATTTTGATTTGAGTTAAAAAGGTTTTTTTTATAAGCTGAGCTAACTGATATAGATATTTGATTATTATTTAAATTAGTTTAAATCAGCTTAGTGTCATTTCATAAATATTAAGTAAAATATTTTATTCAGATCACTTTTATTTATACGTAATCCATAAAATATATTTCACAAAAGTAATCATAAATATAAATTAAAGCCAATGTAAATTTGATTTAAATTAAGGCTATATCTATCTTTTTAAAATATTACTAAACTTTAAAGATAATTTCAATAAAGAAAAATAATTAAAAAAATTTTTTTTTAAGTTAAGTTAATAATTTTATTTATCGTGAGTAAGTTACATTTCCTAATCTATTTAAATTTATATTTAGTTATGTGATTAGAACTCAAGATTTTTTTAAATTGGATAGCTCTCAAATAATTGATTTTATTGAAAATGTTCAAAACGAATCAAATCAAAAAAAGGTAATAGATTAGATCTATTTATGAATTGGTTATTTTATTAAGTTACTATTTAAAAATTATTTTAAATAAAGAGGGAGTATAGGTGTAGCGTCAATCGTGGATAAGATGAGAGAAAATAGACTTAGATGGTTTGGTCATGTTATGAGGAGAGAAGAATCGGAAGCCGTAGGAACAGTTGTAGAAATGAATGTTGAAGGAAGAAGATGTAGAGGAAGACCAAAAAAGAGATGGTGGAATGCTATTGAATGTGATATGAGGATAGCTGATGAGGGAGATTGTGTCAAGTGAAAGTTTAGGATAAGAGTAGCCAACTCCAAGTAGTTAGGATTAAGGCGAGGAAGAAGAAGAAGATTTAAAAATTATTTCCTTAAAGCATCAATTATAGGCATAAATTAGATCAGGTTTTAAATTAAATTTATTACCCTAAATCATCAATTATGGTCATAAATAAATATAAATACGATTATAAAAACTAGATATTCATTTGAAATGTATTTATATTTTATGAAAATGTTTATGCATTTGTCATATATAATTAATTTTTATCCTGTTTCGTGTATGATTTTAGTAAATTGTGATTATTGAAGTTCATATTTAATAATAAATAAATAACCAAAAATTGTATTTTTTTAAAAAGATAGAGAATTTGCAAAATATATCTGAAATATCATTATATTTAGTTAAACTATTTATAGTCGATTAACATACTATTCTAAAATTAATTTATATATAATAAAAATTCAAATTAGTGTTTAAACATATTCTTTAGCTGTAGTAATAACAAATTCACCAATGGAGTTTGACCTAATGTAATGCAATTTCAGTCTAATAGAATTTTATATACCTATAATTTAAATCCTTATATGAAATACTTATTTGATTATTTAAAATGTATCCTCGACCTTCATTTACAATATTCTTGGTTATTAATGCAAATTATTACACCGAAATCTTGAAAAACATGCAAAAGTAATTATAATAAACCAGTTATTATTTTTTTTTAACCAGTATAAATAACTTTATATAAAACTGTACTTATAAATTATGAAATAAATATTTTTCCATCATACTATATTCAAGAGTGAATTTTAGATATTTGAAGCGTTAATGATGTGGGTAAAATATGACCAAACAAACAGAAAACAATTTTTACCAAAACTTTTTATTAAAATCAATATTGAAGCATTCCCAATATCGTATATAGAAAATGTTATCATGAAAGATGTTTTAATAATGGAAAATGTCCAGTGTACGTAAGGTATTCAATTTTAGAATTCAACTAAGTAAAGTTTTTTTTTCTGTTTATAGGTAGTAATCATATGGCCAGCATTTTTCTTAAAATGTTGCAGAATGCTCAGATTATGATACAAAAATTAAATAGAAAGAGATCCCAGTTATCACAAGTATGTCGGACATAACTTAGGAACATTAAACAATGGCATACTTATGGTAGTTGTTAAATTTTTTTTAAATAAGAAAATTCTTTTTTTAAAACAAAAAAAATAATTATACTTAAACTATATTTAAGAAGTTAACTAACCAAACACTGAAGTTCACTTTGGTTGAAACAAACCAAATGTTATTGTGATTATTATACTATTATATAAAATTAAGGCATTTTTTCGGCCAAACTATTTTTATCTCATCACAGTTCGAGTTTTGCAGCGTCATTTTATTACCTATCATTAATGATTGCTTTCAGTTGACTTAAATAACATTTTTTTGATAATGAAAATAATAATTTCCTTATCAGTAACTCTAAATCAATTATATTTTAATATAATAAATAAATGCAATGTATTACAGATAATGTTAATATTATTAGAAAACTAAACATGTAAGAAAAATGAAAAAATTTTAGATAATTACCTTAGAAGTCGCAGCCCTTATAAAAATATTAAATTAACAGTTAAAATTTCAAATCGTATTAAATTTAATAAAAATGCTACAATTGCAATTATCTTATGACTAATTCTGTGGGATTTAAAATGTTACAATAACAAAAGTAAAAATTTATAATTTACTTTATTTTAGTCCAAAAATGTAAAGAAAAATAATAATATATTTTATATATTTATTAATTATCAACAGCTTACATAAATCCTAATAATTTATATTCAACTAAAATCTCTTCTTTCTTCTTTTCCACGCCTTATTTCCAACTATTTGGGGTCTATCCTAAACTTTCACTTGACATGATCACCCATATCATCTACGCTCACATCAGCTATCCTCATATCACATTCAATAGCATTCCACAATCTCTTTTTTGGTCTTCCTCTACATCTTCTTCCTTCAACATTCATTTCTACAACTGTTCTTAAAGCTTCCGATTCTTCTCTCCTCATAACATGACCAAACCATCTAAGTCTATTTTCTCTCATCTTATCCACGATTGACGCTACACCTATACTCCCTCTTATATGCTCGTTCCTTATTCTATCTTTTCTAGTCACTCTACTCATTCTCTGCTCTTACTTTCTTATCAACCGCTCAACACTCTGAACCACACATCATAGCTGGCCTTATTACAGTCTTGTAAAATTTACCTTTCAGCCTCATTGGAATTCTTTTATCACATAAGACGCTGGCGTGTTGAAGTGGAAAGAAGCGTCCAGACGCTTCTCTCCACTTCAACCACCCGCACTTAATTCTGTGTCTTTGTCTGTGTAAAATTATTACGTTTATCAAATATTGTCATATCACAGTCAACTCAATAGGACAACATAAAATTTGTATTATGCGATATTTCTCATTTCTGCTCCACTCATTCTCTGTTCTATTTTCTTGTCAACCGCTTAACACTCTACATCACACATCATATCTGGTCTCACTACAGTCTTATAGAAGACTGTATTGGAGATCTTTTATCGCAAAACATACCAGATGCTTCTCTCTACTTTGACCACCCGCACTTAATCCTGTACCTTACATCCTCGTCAATACCACCATTATAGATATCTCATATTATATCAATGTACCTTTTCAGGACTCCTTTTCTCATTAATGCCCACTTTAAAACCTATCTCAGTACTCTATCATACGCTTTATTCAAATCTATAAATACCATACACATCTTTTTCTTCTTTTTCCTAAACTTTTCTTTTAGTTGCCTCACACAAAATAATGGCTCCATTGTTGACTTACCGTGTATAAATCAAAACTGGTTTTTAGACACCAATGTCTCATTTTTATTCTCTTATTTATTACCATTTGCCAAATTTTCATGCTATGGCTCATAAGCTTTATACCTCTATATTTTTCAGACTCCTGTAGATCTCCTTTACCTTAAAATATCGGCACCACAATTTTATTTCTCCATTCATTTGGAATTTTCCCTTCTGATAAGATTTTAATTATAAGTTTCTTCAACCACATTATGCCAACACCGCCTAATATTTTCCATACTTCTACTGGCATTTCATCTGGTCCTACTGCTTTATTCTTTTTTATTTATGCCATAGCTTCCCATACTTTTTTCTCACTAATTAAATCTACCAGTCCCTCGTTCCACGAGATATCCTTTAATGTCTCTTTTGGATACTCTTTCCAGCTTTTTTTCACATCATTATCATTTGATAGTACCCTATTATCAATACTTTTTATATACCTTTTTAAAAACTGTCAACTTTATATATATTTATATAACTTTAATGTGTTATGAAATAGTTAAAACATTTAATAAATTAGTCATAATAATTTATGAAAAAAAGAACTATTCAACAATATTATACTATTTATTATAATCAAATATTTATATTTATACATGAAATGTTTCAATTTAAGTATTATTACACATAAAATAATTATTTTCTGTCAATTTGTGATGATTCTTTAAAATTTTTTTCACTTTATTTTTTAATCGTAGATTTTAATGCTTGCTCAATGTATGATTTCTGAAACCCCAGCAATTAAGGTTCTCCAAGAAGTAAAAGAAACCGAGGGTACAAGTAAATTTCAAAAAAAATTTTTCCTTATTTTTATTTCAAAATTTTTTTTTTTTAACTACAAAACAAATTAAAAATACTTGAAACGTTTTATAGGAGTAATTAAGTCTTGGGAGAATAATCAATTGGCGACAATTTCAAACAATAAATCGCAATGCATAGAAAATACTGAAATGTCAGAAAATGAAAATGATATACATCTAATACAAACTTTTTTGTTTACAAAAAAAGAAAATTTTAATTCACAAGTTAGCCTTACAATTTTTATTAATTATTAAAAAATATCAAATAGGATATTTTGTACTTTTAACTTGATTGTGAGTTTTTAAAAATTATTTTATTTTTAGAATGACATCTTTGTCTTGAAATAATAACCTCAAAAAAAAAAAAAAATTCCTCATATGTTTTACTAAATAATTACAATTTTAAAATGAACCAAAATATTCGGATTCAACTTTTATATACTTTTTTTTTAACTTTTAGTACATAAAATAGGCTTTATTTTAACATATATTTAAGAGACTCAGTATTCCCGCAACATTTTCAAAAGTTAAGTTGAAAAAATTCTACTTTTTATAAAAATCGTTGAAATAACTTGAAACAGAAGGATTGATTGATTTGAAATTATGTGGCTAATTTATTGGATAATATGATAATATTAAATATTATATGGTTTTATGATCCAATAAAAAATTTACGAAACTCAATGTTATCTTATGTACCGTCATTATGTTGCAATAATTGTAATAATAATAATTACTATAATTATTAAAGTATGGATGCTCTCTTGAATCGTTAAATGTCTGTGATAAATAAATTGAATGACACTATTTTTGATTTTTTTGATAATACACGAGCTCACATAAGGTTTATAATTAATAAACTTTTTCTAATCATTAAAAATTTTACTAAAATTATCGAATAAAAATAAATTATTTAATTGAGTACTATAAAAATGAAATTAGTATTTTTTTTCTTTAAGTTCTTACTAACTTATACTGAAAAAATTCTTTTATAAAATATGTTTTATGCAAATTAGATTCCAGTAAATCTTATTTATAACAAAATTTCCAATAAATCCTTCATCATTTTTCAAAATAATAAAAATTAGAAAAAAATTAATTGTTCTATTCAAGTATTTAAATATTTTAATATTGGGCACTATTATAAAATGCGTTTCTTAATAATAAATAGGAATAATGATTCAAATTAGTTTTTAACTATTCATTATATACTAGATATATAAATATAATTTTGGTTAAATACCTATTTAAAAATTAAGTGTATAAATAAATTGTATTATAGGTTATTATAATATGTCAATTTTCTGAAGATTTCAACGAACAATCTCTATCATTTTTAGACCGAAGCGATAAAAAATGGAAGAATATTAATCTTAATGGTTTTCAACCGAGTACATCGATGTGCACGTTTTTTGAAGATGGAAAGTATTTTGAAATTGGAAAATCTCCAGTTGATAATAAGTATGTTAATTATTTTAATAGTTAAATTTATCTACTGTGCCAAAATGTTTAAAACATATATATGATTACTAGACTTGTCAATATGATAGCCCGTAGTAGTAAAAAATTAAGTGAATCAAATTATTTGCATTTAACACCAAAATTGATTCATTTAAAACATTCCGTTTATATAGTGAGTATTTATAAATTTAGCTAGATAAAGTTTTGTAAAAATAAAATTTTAATAAAAAAAATTGAAGGATACCACACCATTTAAATAATATATATGAGATTTTCTCTCAGGAACAGGTCTGTTTACACTGTATTGAACAGCGAGCTTTAAACGTTTGGAAATATTTTAATTCATTAAATTAGTATATTGTAATAGGCCTAATAAACGACTGTAAATAATATTGTCATAATGTTTAAAATGATTTAAATATTTATGAACGACAGTTAATGTTATTTTGTCATAAAAAATAATCTTAAAGTCATAATAAATCAAATGGCAAATTTTTAAATAATAAAATTAAGTTCTTGGCTTTTTAAAAAATTGAAATTCTTATTGTTATCTATGGTTTGGTATCATTTAGGGTAAAATATTCTAATTTCTAATTTCTTATGCCGAGTAGTTGGAAACGTCATTAAATGGAAAATCCCAGTACAATGAAATTTACGATATTCAATCTAATCGTTACAGAAAAATAGAAAAGATGAATGAATTTCGAACGGATTTTAGTGTAGTGGCTTGTGACAATCTTATCTATGCAGTCAGTACTATTTTGTAATATATTTTTTTAATTGAATCATTGTTTTTAAACATTTTGTACGAGTACAATAAGGGTGTAAAGCTTAAGTACCTCCAAAAAATAAAGACAATTTTATTCATTGTTTTTTAGTAAAAAATGTTTAGTAAAGCTTTTCATGAAAAGCTTTACTATTTCCAGTGATATTATATTGATTAATACACACTTTTAAATGTTCGTATGGCAGGTTGGAGGATATAATAGTAAAACAATTGAATGTTATTATCCCGAAGAGAACGTGTGGCGTATATTTAAGCATACTATGAAAGTACCCAGGAAAAATGCTGCCGTTTGCGTTGTGAATGATACTATCTATGTATTTGGTGGTACGGATAAAGCTAACAATGTATTATTTTCTGGCGAAAAATTTGATGTGCGCTGTCAAATTTGGCATGATATTCCGCCAATGAACAAGGGACGCACCAACGCTCGTAAGTTAATAATGATTATAGAATTTTTTTATTAATTGAACAAATATAGAATAATCTGATATGAATACTACCATTATATTATTTATTTACTCTAATTCTAGTTGCAGTTTCCAAAAACGGCTTCATATTTGTCATTGGCGGAGAAAACCAAAATTCTTATGAAGTTTTTGATACATCTTCAATGACATGGAAATTATCAAGTATAAAAATGAATAAAACGTGGGCCCATACTAAAGGAGTAACTCTTGATGCAGAAACTAGTTTTTACTTCAAAAAAAATATGAAATATTTCATCTAAAAATTAATATAACTACAAAAACTTTGATAATCATATATTTACTTTAGATATTTTATTTATCAATTAATTTTTTGTAATATTTAAAGAAACTTGATGGTATTAATTTTATAATTTCATAAAAAAAAGTAAACGTTAAGCATTCGTTTTATGAATGCGTAGATATAAATAAAGTATGTTTGTTAATTTGATTTGTTTTCGGACACCCATATACAGGCTAAAGGTTAGACAACTTAATTAGCTTTCCTGTACAAATTAAATTGTATTTAGCACAGGATTTTAGAATACGATTTGTTATGTCGGAGAACGTTGTCCGAGGGTCTGAGTAGACTTAAATAATCTTATTTGAGGACACATACACACAGTGTAAAATATAAAATCGTCACAAGACCAATATAATCAAGGATATTTTTTATAAGAAAAATACAATGAAAAAACTAACATGGTATTATTTTAATGTTCGACACTTAGCACTTGCACAAGACGGACAATGACAGGTATGACACAATATAAGAGCACATTCAACCAGAATGGTCAGTAAGGGATTTTTTATTCTTATAATATAAGCTTTGCTTCCCCCTTGAGATCATTGTCAATTTTATCAAGGCTATTTTTTTAACGCTAAATTATCAAACACAATAAATAACACAATGATACATAAAGTACTTTTGTTTGTTATTACGTCTAACAATTGTATATACTGCTTAATCATTTTTAAATAGAATATGGCATATTTACATTCTCTTTTTTTAAATAAACTAAAAAAGTCGAAAATGTAAAAAAATCATTTTAATATAAAAATAAAAAAACGTCTTTGGTGAAGTTAATTTCGTTGACATATTTATGAGTCTTATGTGAGATTGTATAAAATAAATAAAATTAATAGTATACATTTCTAAATTTATAATTAAGCTGACTATTTGTCAACTTAATTTGACTATTTGGCCGACCCCAAGTAGTTGGGATTAAGGCGAGGAAGAAGAAGAAAATAATTAAGCTGACTATTTATAAAAGGAATACACTCCATTGTTATTGGCGTGGGTAAGACTTTTAAAAAAGTATTATTGAAAATTGTATAAATAAATTAATGACCAATAGTATGAATCTAGACAGGGTTGCCCTTTCCTATTGCTTGTCATGCCTGCCATATCGCGATAATCTGTACTGATCATTTTAAAGACCTAGTTCTATACTAGTATACAAAGTGATTCTTTTATCATCGACTACTTAATTAATTGAAAAATAAAAACTATATTAACAATTATTTTATTAGTTATAAAGTAATTTAGAGTAATAACTGAAGATGTAAAGTGGGTGCTGTTATTTTTATCATTTCTAGACAATCATACATGTTCTCATTTGAAAAATAAAAGTTGACACACTTATGAAGTATATGAAATGAAATGAAATTCGGCTATAATTAATGGCTTCTTATACTATAATGATTATAAATTGTTAAAATTTTTAAAATCTAATTATACCATAGCATTCTACTACAAAATATACATAGGTCTGTACTTGTTTTTGTTTTTCAATTTTAACTATGTTTAGACTTTTAATAAATAAAATAGCCGTTATTACGATTTGTTGACTTAAGTTTTTTTTCATAGTTATAGCGATTATGTCAACTAAAGGCGACAAAATATTTTAATATTTTTTGAATCTTCATAAGATTTCCTATCAATATAATAAATAATAACAACATTAACATAAATAAAAAAATTAAATTGATCTGTTCAACTTTAATAGTCTATATCAAAGTTGAAACATTATGGAATGATTTCAAAATTTCCACAAATGATTAGCATTATAGTATAAATATAATTAAAGAGTAATGAAAAACAATTTTTTTTTAATTAAATATTTTATCTGTAAAAACCGTAATTTTACTAATAACTTGTAAAATAATTATTATGGTTGAAGTATTAACTACAGGGAAAATCTAAGGACATATTTGGAATCGGCGTTATTAAACCTATTAGAAACAATGAAAAATTGTTTAACATTATTTTTATTTTTTGATTAATTAAGTGATCCATTCTAAATAATTAGACAGTTATAATCAAAAAGAGAAATTTTTGATCAAATGAGACATGAATTCATTTTTATCAAGCTGGTAGTAAACAAATGTACACATTTATAAATAAATAAATTGAAAGATTTGAACAAGGTTCTCCTAAGCCTAAAAATATGGAAACAATGAAAAAATTATTTTAATCGACTGAATTATTCATAGCAATAGTCTTTAGAATTAGTACCAAAAATTATCAAAATTCATAAATTGTTAAAATAAAAGTAGATAAATGAAATCTTTTAATAAAGAAAAAATTTAATTTAAAAAACAAATTTTTCTGTATTACATCGAATAATAGTCAAAATTTTCATTTATGCTAAAATTATGTCTTAGTTATTTAAAATATTATCAAAAATATCTTACATATATATGCATAACTCGTAGAATTAATTTACAAAGCGATAGTTACGAGAGTCCGAGATTGGAGCTATACTGCCGATTTAACTTGTTTCCTATTTGTTTTTGAAATTTTTGTTGTTGTTTTTTTTATTTCTATGATTGTTGTTGGTTTGTTTTTGTCGCTGTCGTTGTTTTTACTGTTTTTGTTATTTTTGTTTTTCATTGAATGTGAAAAAAATGGTTTTAACTATTTTTACATTGTCAAAATAACGTGATTCTTAACATAATATATTATATCATTAACATAAGCGTCATTCTCTCTATCACTTTACTATTGTACCTATTAATCAAAAAATGGCTTGTCAGTTTGATGAAGGTTTTTTATTTTTAAAAGTAGTTTTAGAGATTATCTTTGAAGAAGTAGTTAGTTTTAAATACTAACAGTATGTGATAATAATTAAATAGTATCAATCTACATGAAATACATGAGATGTTACATATTATAAGTAAAAAAAAACAATGTTACAGACGACTTGTCTACTATATGTAGACGGTCCACTAAGTTAAACAAAATAACAAAATTGTATTTGAATACTTAAATAGTACAAAAAAATTATAAAATCATATTTTTTTATAAGATGGCTAAAGTGTTATGAACTTTTAACTTTTATAGATTAAACACATAAAATATAATAACATTGCCATGTGAAATCTCTATCCACAACGAGTAAGATACTAACTCATTTTTTCTCACTCCTCAGGAGACCAAGAGTAAAATTTACTATCTTATTATATCCTATATGTTTATCAAACTTCTAATTAGTTTAATCGTGATACAAGCCAATTTTTTTATATTTCGATGAAAGTTATTATAAAAAGACGGAAACCTAACTTTAGGTTCATTCGTCTCATAATCACAAAATCGAATTTTTCGAGTTACTGGCCTTATTCATTGCGTATATCGAAATTATAATATCATTTTGCTTTATGAATTTTTGCGAATTAAATTCAAAAACTTACTTAACATTAAAAAGCAACAGTACATTGTAAATTTAGTCGATTTTAGATTTAATACTGAAATTTAAATGAATATTAATATGTTGTTGTCTTAGAAAGAACTATTTAACGCAAATCATACTAATACCAATAATCATACCAAATATTCACATTTTCCTTTTTTTATTTTGAGAATATTTTGTAAAAACATTGTTAATTAATAAAAAATGAACTAAAAAAGTTGTAAGTATTGCGGATAATAATGTAATGTAAAAAAATACAATCCAATTAAATAGTTTATTTCATGATTATGATGAATTTAACGATACTAGAAATATTACAATATGTTTGATTTTTTTATAAAAATTTTTTCAAGTATAATAACTGAGAATTAAGAACTTAATAAAAAAATATACTTTGAAATTCAATGGCTAATTTAAACATGGTTATAAAATATTGAATAACATTATTAACAAAGTTTAAAAATATGATTTAACAACTGTTGTTCTTTAAAAAATATATATATACGCTATAATTATAAACTATTATAATATAAGGCACTTTTAAATATATTTACAATAATAAATACATTTTTACATTCATTTTCTTTACCCTTCTGATTCGGTCAAAACAGATAATATACCGTTATTTGATACGTTTTGAGATGAATAGAAGAAATTAAAAATGTAATTATAACTATAGACTTGAGCCTAACCATTGGTACTTACAGAAATTATTCTCTTAATTAATTTTAACACGAAAAAATAAAAAGTTTTTTCGATATGACTATTTGGTATTTTTATGTTAAACTGCATTGGAGACAGGCAATGGTGAAATAATGGTGGCTTTTGGCTTAATCAACATTTGTGCCTTTTTCAGTGTATAATCCCATCCTCTCCAGCGGAACCAAACAATTCCTTAAATAATAAAACGTAGGTATTTAAGTTGTTTTAATCAATTTTATAAAATGAAAAATTGAGCTAATTTAACTAATTAATTATCTTTTAATAAAAAACTAACGATTTTAATAAATTATAGTTAAAATAAAAATATATATATTTTTTGGTTATTTTGGATTAAAGATAGGTTTTTTTGATAATTGAACGTATTTACTGTAGTGCAAAATCCTTTATGAAATGGATTATAAATTGCAGATCCCTATAAAAACTCTACTTCGAAAAAATCTAGTATGCAATCAACAATTAAAATATTCAAAACAATTATTTAATATATTCAATTTGAATATTTAATATGGTAAAGTAACTTGAAATCTTATCAACAATTTCATTAGGATCTTTCAATAATCAAAAATAATAAAAATATACACAAAACGTGTCTGTTATATTGCCTAGACGTGCTCCGTTTTACCTTGTCTAGCAGTTAAATCTTGAGGATCGGTCAAGTATAAACCATTTAAACCTCTACCGCATGACTTCCACCACCATCCACCTTTCAACATAGACGCACAGTTCAAACTCGATCTATCGTTGTCCCTGAAAAATAAAACAATAATTATTTATTATAATAGAAATTTAGAAAAAATTAAATAATGTTTAACACTACAATCTTTAACAAACCTGTTATAAGTGGAAAACGGACTGTTGTTGCTACCATACCAAGGATCATTTAATGAATCACCAGCATTACCTTCATAACCGTCTATTTCTAATTTGTAGTATTCAGCTTCCGAATAAATTTTAAAATGTGAGTACTGAGCGTATCTGAATTGAAAAAAAATTTATATAAATCATTACTACTATTGAATCGATATTAGGTATTAAAATTACAACGAATTATGACATCTAAGTTTACAAAAAGAAATTTTTAAAATTTTAATTTAATATTAGATCAAATAAGCTTTTAGATGTGTTATGGTAAACCCAAAACCAAAACTGAAGTCAAAATAACTGGCATATCAATTGTTTTTATAAGTTATAGGTACCTATATTATGTTAATACTAATTAATAATATGAAAACTCAGATGAAACACTAATCTAGAAAATCACACCCAACTGTTGTATTATACACAACAACAAATATTTACCTTTTGTTGCCTTCAAAATCTTCCAATTCAATTCTCAGCATATATTCGTCATTACTGGTCAGCATATAAATATTCTCATTACCCATCCAAAACTCTTTGGTAGGATCACCGAACCCGTTCTTATAATCCGTCCAATCTCTGTTAAAGTTCTCACGTATAGGTTCACTAAAATCGTCTCTCCTTTGGATAACCTATACATAAATAGATAAATCATTATTGTTGACATCTGTTTTCGACCCTTCTCAGTAATGATTACAAAACATGTTTTGTAGTATACTCATAAATAAGTAACACTACAACGTTGCACCTATAAGATTTTTATCAAAAATTCTTTATTATCTACAAATTATAAAAATATTTTGAAAAATCATTCTAAATTCAACACTTTGTTGTCTTGCAAAGAATATATAAATCAGTATTGTAAAATGCGCTTACTGGACTATTTTCATTTATTTATGATTGCCAACTTCAATGTCACGGTATAACATAACCAGAAGTATATTGTTTTTATAAAAATGAAGTGTCATTAAATAGCAATTTAGTACTAAACATAAATTTATAAGTGTAATACATGGCTGGTAGACAAACATCAAAATCTGACCGTGGATGAAAATGACAGCGGCAAAACTTTAAAAACATTTTTAGTTTCAATCTACATTTTTAACCACGCGTCCTTATAAGACATTCATGCGAATAAGCACTGCCGCCGCTGACCGTGGAGACCTTGGCAATATATTCAGACAATCGTGTCCGTTTTATCAAAAACGATAACCTGTACAGTAGAAGAGTACAATTTGCACACATCGTGGGGTTGCACAATTTCGGAAACGACCGAGGTTGTCCAAAAAATTATCATGAGAAATGTAAGTATGCATGTTATTATTAGTGTAAGAGCGCAATAACAATGCGTTGTGTGTCCGTGCATTGTCATTAGACTCTCAACAATTGCTATAACTATTATTAAGGCTTGATTTTTATTTTTTCGTAATGGATTTTCTTTATTTTTTCCAATTATTACTTCTTCATGATCATCAAAAATATGGAATAATGATAGCTTTAGTAACTAATCCCAGTAGTATTAGTAATAGAAAATTCCGTACCGAAAACTTCAATTATACTAACCGTCCATCCACCGTCAGCAATCTCCTGTTCGCAAAACACCTTTAGGTACCAGTACGCCGTTCCTCGAATTTGTAGATAATACACTCCATTTTGCTTCATTCCAGCATTCAATAAGTCCAAGCATGAATATCCCTAAAAAAAACAATTATATTTTTGTTTGATTATAATTTTTTAATAACTATTTATTTTTACAAAAGTCATTCATAAGTTTTCATGTAAAACAACAATGCAACAATTTTTTAACGTAATAGCCGTTGACATCGTTATTCAGATAATTCATTTAACCAACTTAATGACGTTATAATCGAGTACCTAAATATGACAAAATTTGATAATATCGTTCAGGATAGAGTTTCAACATAATTGCATCATAGTTATGATTATTTTTTTCGAGTTAATTTTTTTTAGCGCAGATTCGTTTACTTTGTATTGACAATAGAAACTTATGTTACAGTAAACTTATTAAAATTATAATGCACTTCGTTGATTTTAGAACAACCAAACAATATTGGAAAACGGCGAGTTTTCAAATATTGTTAACAACAAATTGTTCATACGTACGGTAACAGATTAACTATTACTAGAAAATAAAAAAATGACCGAAATATCGAATTATCATGTTATTTTATTCGATAATAAAGGAGAAACCTTAACCTATTGAGTGTATAAAAATGTATCAATATCACGTATCCGTGTTCAATAAAAATAATTTATCATGCATAATTCTAATCGTACACAAGTGAAATTGGATCGATAATTAGGAGTATTTCAAGGACTAGGAGAGTGATGAGGACTAGACAGTTATTACTCTTCATATAAGTAGGACGTACGTACATATGACATAACTTTCAGACCGATCATCATATAATTCAACATACAATACAATACTATTGTAACGCATTTAATATCTGTAGTCTAACTGTCGCATTATCATAACCACCGCATCGATCACTTTTAGGTACTCATTTGAAAAATATATCTTAAAACGCAGGCCAAGCGGCATGAAGTCGTACAAAAATGAAATATAATAGTTTTCTCTTACCACCCCTAGCTTTTTATTTTTAAACTAATTTACTTCCACAAAAATAAATGAAGATCACGTAAATTGTATGTAGAATTATGAATCATATACCTTACAATCGATCATATCACTTTTCCTCATCGTGTAAACAATACCAACAACAAAAACAAAACTCAAAACGATTTATGCTCTAGACGGCGGTTATGTAATAATAATAATGATTATTATTATTACGTTGGTTTGAATCCATAACAAGTTCAACAGGACGTTAATAAGATCTTACCTGCCTACAACGTAGGTGTCAAGATATACACTGACAAAGTGACCGCGACGCCCAAAAATAAAAAGGATCTAATGTCTGATAAAAATATGGTAAATATTAAAAGAAAAAACTCATGTACAATAGTTTATCATTTTTGAATTAAAAATAAATAATGTTTATAAAGATTATTGTCCTGCGATAAGATAATAGTTGTAAAGACTACTTGGTATCTCATTTTTTTTCAATTGTGTACTAAAAAATGACAATAATAGTATTTTTTGAGATAAAAAATACATAATCAAACATCCTTAACTATTTTTTTTTTTTGTATATTTAATTATTTTGTATTCAAAATTTTAACGTAAATTATAGACTCGAATTACAATATAAATATTATATTAACATTTAAATGCTTGGAAATTTTTGAATTGTCAACTTGAAAACTCGAACATATAAGAGTCTATTGTTTCGTTTGTCACACTTGTACTTTCGTCACTTCTATTTTGAAATAGTTGATTAATGTCACACCAAAGCACTTAGGATGTGACCTGATAAAACCGTTTTGGTCGTGGAATTCACCATAGAAAATTAACCTGTCAAAAACCGTCTCCTTGCCCTTCATTTATTAGACACAGAAATTTTTATAGTCCAATAATACAGACTATAGTGAAAATGTAATCATTTTTGAACACTTAATATTATTTATTTGTTGTCCTCTAATGGATCACGTTTTTTTAATGTGGCTTTATTAACATAACTATTTTCAAACTGAAAATGGACCTCTTTTATTAACAATCCATAATACGCTATAATTAAATAATTCATTATTATCGATTTATCATTAATCACGAAAAGCAACTTCGTCCTGCGACCTTTAGACATTGTGTTTCCAAAATAATGCGTCCAAGCCATGAACTGAAAAGAGTGATACTATCTAATGAGTAAAAATATAGCAATTACAATGACTAAGTATTTCTTTAGAGAAATTATCAAAAAACATTTCTATAATTTATAGGCCTAGATAATCATTAACTGTTAGAGGATACCTTGATCGACCAACATGGGTCAAGTTGAAAATCGCATCTCAATTTTGTGTACTAAAAATACGACCATGTACAAAAAAATACTTCCATCAAATTATTTTTGGATGTAACTGTTCCTCATAGTTAATTATTAATTTAAACGCGAGCTTTATATGATTAATGAAATTAGTACCGTATTTTTTTTTCAATAATTTATCTGAAAATATCTTTAACAGTTATTAATGACTTTTAATCAATAATAAATATTGGATAGTATTTAAATTACAAAAACGAAGTCAACAAAAGATATATACCATTTAATAAAATATAAATGAGTCACTAATTAATAAGCTATTCATTAGCCGGTAATTGATCATTTTTAACAAATATAATTTATTTCACTATTTTGACATTAGTTTTTTAATAAATATTATTTGAAAAGTCAAAATCTCATGTTGAAAATGAATACATTATTTTGTTATAAATATGTCAATTAATCTACTACTTGAACATAATGCATTCTTCTATATTTTTTCGTAAATTGGTTAATGTGTTGAACAATTTACGTAGGAAATACATCAATCTCACTTTTTTTAATTTACATATTTTAAATATTTTAATTTATAAAATTTTAAAAATTGAGTAAACATATTGTACATGAGCATCTTTATTTCCTAATGGAAAGTGTAATTATATGAATATTGAAATATTTTTAAGAAAAAATGTATAGTGGCGCCTATTTCAAAATACTTTTTGAAAATTACAATAATAATAGTTTTGTAACCTCATGTGATTATTATTATTATTATTATAAAAAATATTTTGTTCCTATGTAGTTTTCGTAACTTTTTGGCTTACATTGTTCTCCCTTTTCATTTAACAGTTTATGGAACAAAAATAATAATGCTTTACAATTGAAAAATGCTGCACGTGTCTATTATTCACTGAAAGCAAAATAAATCGAACTACAAACAGAAGCTTCTATTTTTGACAAAATTGTATATGTGGTGGATTATTACATAATGGAAAGACTATTATAATATATAATACAAATAAGGACAATATAATAAAAATGCAATTTCAATAAATTTTAGTTGTATACTCAAAATTTGTAGAAAAATATGTCCACCATGTCTAATGGTCACATTAAATTTGTATTGGATTAGTAAATGTAATCTAAAATAATACTTATCTCAGTGTTTTACACACTAAACAAATTGATGTTTTATACGATTAATTATGTCACCGAGTGCATAAACGATTGAGTCATATTTCATAAAATATATCTATGCATAACATTACATTAAATTAATAACAGGAAATTTTTTAATAATTCAATTATTCTTACCAAAATTGTTTTAAAATGAATTAAACATTAATTCAGATTATTAAATTTTATATTTTTGTATTTATATATTTTAATAAGTTGATTATTTAATTATTCAATTTATAATTAGTTTTTTTTTATTTGCATACTTTCATTTAACCGAACAAGTTATTTTTTTTTTTTTTAATTATTTCTACCAAGTATTAAAAAATATTTTTGGAAAGATTTACAAAAACTGGTGAGTGTTATATTACAACTACCCAATTATTCAAATTGTAATATCTTATATGTAAAATCGTACTATATAGCATTCATTTTTTTGTAAGTTTTAAAACAAGTTCAATATGATAATTCTAATAATATTTTTTGGCATAGAAAGGAAAAATTCAACTTACTTTTACTTCTCTATTAAACTGGTCAGTAAGAAAACTTATATTAGCCGGTGGTGGCTTGTTCTTGACACTGGGAAAAACTACACCTCGATTTTTGGGAGGATTCCGTGCTGTTTGTACGAGCTGCTGAAGGTCTGGTGGAGCTCCCGATGAAGGACCTAAACCTATAGTAGATGGTGTTGTAAACGTTACAGTGGCAGCTGATAATGGAGTTGATTCGGCTAATTGTTCGTCATATCTTCCATACTCATCGATAGTAGGATCTAAGCGGAGGAGTTCCGGTGATACTGGACGCTGAGCTAAGGTCACAACATCATCTTCTTGTTTCTTGAGTCTACGTTCAACTACATCTAAATTGGCAATTATCTTGTTAGTATTCATTCGCAAATCATCATGTATATCACTGATGGCACGTTCTTGGCGTTGGGTCTGGGTAAGAAGCTCATTGGACTTTGGTACCAAATCGTCAACGGAACTCTTTGTGCCGACGACCACGTTCCATACCTCATCCATTTTTTCACTAACGCTCAGTATAGGGTGCATCTGTCTTACTAACCGATCAATCTTGTTAGTTTTTTCAAGAGGTGCCTGAGTCGTTGTGGTCGTTTTGTTACCAGACCTAACATTTTCTTGTTCTACGATTGCTCCATGTACATCTGTCATCATAGTCATCATTTTTCCCAATCCATCAGTTACGACATTAATATGGTATTGAAGTTTACGATCAATGTTAGCCGTATTCGCTCGGATAGCGTCAAGTTCAGCATTGAGAAGTTTGGAAACGTCAATTTGGTGAACGTTAACCGTTTTCTTTTCGCTAGCTTCAGCATTAATATCATCAACTGGAGCTAAGAAATTGTTGTCCAGTTGACTCTTTAGTCCTACCAATTTGGAATCGATATCGCCTACTTTCTTATCCAAAGCAGTCAATCGTGATTCTATATGATGACCTAACGTACCAGATTCTTTCTGGAAGAGTTTTGTATCCAAATTCCTCAACTTACCAATAACCGCCTCCGTTTTATCTATATTGTTGGTTACTCTAGAATCGAGAGCCTCTACTCGACGCATCAAGTGTTCTACTGCTTTATCCAAATTTTCTATTCGCTGAAGTTTTGTTTCCAAAGTAGAAACAATAACTTCAAACACGTTGAATAGGTACTGTTCTCTGAAAAAAAAAACAAGTAAAAATTGATTTAAATGTATTAATACAATAATAATTATAAAAGTATAGTGTCAGTTAATATCAACAATCATTTAAGTATGTGTTTAAAACTATATGGCTGTTCTTGTCTATGAAATTGAAAAGGTAGTAATAAAATATCTATAAAAAGTGTATGTTGGTGAAGTGCCGATTACCTGCATTTCGTATTATATATGAATCATGTTCGTGAACATTATTTTACTCATAATTTTATGCTAAACGTTAAATACGCCACGTGGATGAAGATACTGCACATTGTTTTGAAACATTTCAATCGAGAGAAAGCAGACGGTAATTCTATATTATGCTAATTTAATCGCTTTTATATTAGATATTGAACCTCAAACGTGACGACGATTTTATATTTGTCATTTGCTATTTGTGCCCACTCGGCATGAGTAGCTTAACGAGCATTTAAAAAATCGCTAACGTTTATATTAACGTACATCGATTTATCCAACGAATATTTTAAAACGTATGTACAATGTAATGTAAATATTTACTATTAAAAAAAAAAAAATAGATTCAACTAAAAACAGCGACTTTAGATTGGCTGTCATATCCATAGAAATCGTGATCCGTGCCAAAATATCTATCGACACCACCATATACTGAATGCGTCTACTGCATCTAACAGTAAATCACACGAGACATATTTATGTTATTAAGTACCATTCGATATGAATGAAAATAACGGAGTAACGAAAATAGGGTAAATGGTTATTGGGTGTTATGCACTACTCATTCATACATAAATGTGAAACCATTATCATAAGCTAGTGTTTATTTATTTTTATTTTACAATCGATCATTATTTCGGAGGCGTTTATGCCGCGACTTAATAATATTATGAATGGACATTCGGAAACGTTGATCGTCTAACGAACCAGTATTTATTATCCACTGCGTTGTGAATATATAGGTGATTCGGAGAGTGTGCGCACGATTAGATAACTGCTCTGGTGCACTTTTTTAACGATCGGCCGTTGTGATATAATGGAAACGATATTTTATAATCCGTCTTCCGTTCTGTAGCCTGAGGGTTCGGTTTTCATTGAAACTCCTAGTTTTTAACATGATCCGTAGACACATGTCAAATGAATGTGTTTGAAAACGTTACCGTTTACACATAAGGAATGGCTAATTATATTTTCTTATCTTTTCCAAGCGGTCAGGTGAGTTAGAAATTGAAAATTAAATGTTTGTAGCTCAGAGATTTGAAATGTTGTTGACGGTATGTTCTTTACAACTAGGAAGCGATTAAGACTGTCAGTAGCAATTATTATACACTCTATTAATCATTATCACTCATACATTGCAGTTAAATATAATAGAAGTATGAATTTGTAAAAATGCTTCTCATTGATTATAACGATATTCCTCATTTCATCAAAGAATACTTAATGATTATATGCCTGGTATACGCAAGTGTGTACAAATCATACGATATTAATGGGTATTTAACTTATTAGCTGTCAGCGAAAAATGATTTATATTTTTTAATTATTTTTTTCAATTTATATCACCAATAGTAATTGATTTGTTTTGTTTATTTCGAAGCGGTTTCATTACTTCCTAATATACATCAAATATGTCTCCAATATTTTTAAATGGTACGAGTATTCATTTATTCTTAAACATAACTGCCATATATTTATGATAAGGAAATGAAAATATCAGGTTTTGAAATATTTGAACAAATAGTACACAATAAATAAAATATTTCCCGACCGTTAAAGTCTTCGTCGGGTCAAGTAAAATCTGGCGAATGTACGCGTGTGTCGATTTAGATTTTTTACCCATAAGGATGGCATAATAGCACACAAACTGGTTACCCGTCGCTTAGGGCCAAAAGCTGTAGTTAGAGCGGCGCGGTTCGATATTATATGATCCATTTGCCACTGCACTGCAGATGAGATGAACAGATAAACGGTACGGTTTGCGTGCACACGCCATAATTTAGTATACAAAATCAAGTAAAATGAATAGATACGTTGCCGAGTGGGTGAGAGGAAAGATAAAGATAATTATTACTATTAAAGACAACATTAAATATTAAACGAAAACCGATCAAAGGCTCCGCTTCAGAGTTATCCCGTTGTGCTTTCACACAAAGTTGCTATTTGATCATAACGTACTTACAATATTCGCTACTTTTAGAATTTAGCACATTCTACATGCGATATGCATGTACAAAATTTAATAAAGGTAGTCACCGATGGTCATTACAAGTAATTCAATAGATTCATATTTATATTGCAGCACATAAGTGTTATGTAATACGCACATTCGCAATATTAAAAAATAATTATTGTATTCGCTATTATATGTACAAATACATTATTAAATATGTAAACAATATACAACCGTAGACGGACGTACTTCATTATTTTCTCATACTGATTAGCGCGGTACAATAGCAGGTTTTTATGATATTCTGGTTTAGGAAAAAAAAATTCAGAAAAATACGCCTTGAGCTCGTTCGCATGTTCTAATATACGCTAATACGTATTAACAATGAATCTAAGATTTGTATTGTTGTATGTTTATAATGCATTTTACTGTAAATTCAGAGATAAATATCCACCCGCGATATATAGTAATTGCGACTGCAATTATCTAGTGCTAAATAACACTAAAGATCACTTAGTACTAAAAAATGATGTTGCACAATTATAATCTATTTATAGTTGGTAAGTACGAAAAATTAATCAAAGAAGATTAACTAATTATCTATTTGTATTTTTATATTTAATTTTATAATACACAATTAATGCGTGTCTATAACCAACTGAAATCTTCCCAGTGTTCCATAATGTAGGCCGAGTTTGGTTAACATTAAAGATTATCTTTCAAAAAACAATGATTTTTAACAATGACATCACAGGCTATTGGATAAAAAGACTATTTTAAAAATGTTTCCCGATTTAAATTTGGAAAAATATATAAAATTCGGCTGCGCTAATACTAATAACCACAAATAATATATGGTTATTGGTATTAGTGTTTTCGATTTATTGATAAAAAATGGTATGTTACCAATGAAACGAAAATCCAATACAAGTCAAAAATAAAAAAGTAATTTAATCATCAAATTAATATTGATTATAAAAAATGTTAAATAAAATAATATTATAGTGAATGTTACAATTCAATTTAAAAAATTAATTGAAAACAAGATGTTCAAATTAAAATAAAAAATTCATTTGAAGTTTATTGAAAAATAATAAGGCACATTAATAATTCACTTTACAAATTTGTTCAGTAAAAGTATTTTTTAAAGATATTTTTATATTAAAAAATTTATTTAATCATAATTTAAGTTTTCATGTTTTAGTAAGATCTTAGATGAAATCTTACAATGGTTAACTAATTGATGCAATATAAATGGAAATAACTATGTACGTTGGTCATAATACTTATAAGTGTTGTTACAAATTGTCATGTATAACTTGAAGCGAAATCGTACATCAGCTTCTGAAATCAGATATAAATCACTGGGATAACTTTTGTATTATCTGTTTCGAGTTGTAAATTTAATCATGTTAAAATGATTAAGTTAATTGCTACAAAAATAGAAACCGGGCAACCCAAATTTCACTAACGCTATTACATAAAAAAAACTATAATTTTGCAAAAAAAATTCAACTTATGCAAAAAGAATAAAACTGCTTCAAGTTAAAAATGTTTTGTTTTAGTAAATAATTTGCTAGAGTTTAAATTCAAAAATGTTCTCTTTTATTATTCAATAAATGTATAATATAGTGGAAACTCATTACATCCTCTTGTTTCAATAATTCAACATGTTACTCATTCGCTAACAGACATTCACATTTCCTAATTCATTCAAATAATTACCATAGAGTTATTAAAACAGATATTGGAACTGTTACTGGTATTTTACAATATCGAATACACAAGTAACTTTCTTTTAATACATCTTCAATAAAATTAATTATACAAACATATTATAATTTAGATGAAAACGTTTAATTTTTACGAACCATAATTTGCGCGTTAGGAGCTGCTTATGAATTATATTACCATTTAAAATACACTCGAGTCACTGTAATTTATATTTCTATTCAACTGTTTATAAATTAAAGTAAACATTTAGTGATAGTTTTTAATTATCAAGGTTTCAATAATTATTACGAATGCTGCGCGTGCACGATTAATTAGATAGTATCTATAAATAATCATAATGTTAATAATACGTTTGAAAAAACAATAAAAAAATATATTCTCTAGTATGCCTTAAGGGCTTTTGCATATTCATAAACAATAAGCGTGATCTATACAGTATGGAAAATAAACAAACAAAACTTAAAATATTATAGTTCAAAAAATACATTTGATTAGAATTAATTTGTTGATAGATACTAACAAAATGAGCTTAAGGTTGTTTGCATTCTGTGTCCTACAATTTGAACTAATTTTATAACTACTCTATGTATAATGTATACATTATACAGCGAGACTGAATTAAATGTTTTGGATAGTATAGTTTCATTAGAAACTTATAACATTTTACTTGTAGTAAGTTAATTAGTCTAACCCATTTAAGTCAATTAAATTATTGTATTCGAACTTACTTATAAAATCTTTCATATAATATGATATTAAGGATATGAATTGTAGGTCACATAATACATTTTTTTTTATATACCGATCATTAACACTTTTTTATAGGCTTCACAAGTGATGCAGACTATAAATTAATGAACATACTATCGAACAACCTTATAACTATTAGATCCACTTTCACTACCCTATCGCAATAATAATCCTTTATCTTCTCATTTTAATTTCAGACACATTACAATAATTTTGTGATCATTATATAAAATATCGTTTTTCATACTGAGTTTAGTGTAAAAACTGATTGTAAAAACTACGTTGCCGTAAATTTAACCTATTTCAAGAAACTTAAAATGAACAGACTAAAGTGTTTAAGCATAATA